GGCCTTCAGGGACTGCACGATGATCCAGTGGATCTCGTCGAACAGCTTGCTGGTCACCTCCTTGCCCCGGGTGCTCTCCAGGTAGAGCCGCAGGTTGTTCACGGTCCACTTGCCCCCGTGGATGTGGTTGTAGTCCTCCTGGTGACAGAAAGGGCGCGGGGTCCAGGCAATGCACCCAGAGGACCCCAGCGCCTGTTCTCGCCCTTGAGCGTTTCCTGGTGCCTCCTCCGTGAGGGGCAGGCACCCAGCAACCTGGCAGCCGGACCCTGCCGCACAGGGAGCTGGGCCTCCTCCTCCTCCATGTGACATTATTAAAGTACACTCATCCCTCGGTATCTGCAGGGGATTGGTTCCAGGACCCCACTCAGATTCCAAAATCCCTGGATGCTTAAGTCCCTTAAATACAATTGCCTTGTATTTGCATTTAACCTACACACACCCTGCCCGTCTCCAGTATACTTTAAATCATCTCTGGATTACTTGTAATACCTCATGTGATATAAATGCTAGGTAAATAGTTGCCAGTGAGCAGCAAATTCAAGTTTTGCTTTTGGAACTTTCTGGGATTTTTTCCCCCCAAATATGTTCGATCCAGGGTGGTTGAGTCCACAGATGTGGGACCCTTGGATGCAGAGGGCCTACTGTGCGTAACCTGTAGTCTTCTCACAGTTTATCATTTATTCCTTCCAGTGCACACTGCGGAGTGCCACCAGACGCCCCTTTAAGACCAAGGCACTCATTCTCCCAGCAGGGACCCTCCGGGAGCTGCCAGTGGCTAAAAGGGCCTGCCTAGTCCAAGTTTACACCTCTCCTGGGGCAGTCCACAGCCAGTGACAGGTTGATGCCAGGGTTCTGGCCCCTGCCTCCAACAGGGACAGCTCTGCAGGGCCACCCAGCTGCACTGCATCCCAACTTGATGCTCCCTTTGCCTCGTCTGGTCCCCTCCACTACCAGTGTTGCTCCTGACATCCTGCGCAGTATAACTCCTACATGCTCATCTCTGCTTCCTGGAGAAGCCACCCCAGGATGTACCCTGCCAGGCGCTCCGGTTCAGGAGCCCCACACACGAGCCTCCCTCACAAGGTCCCATCAGGAAGGCTCAGGCTCACAGAGGTCTCACTCCTTGTCCAAGCTTTCATCCTGGCTGTGACCAACCTGGGACCTGAGCCCAGCTTTTCCGATGCCTGTTCAATGCTCCGTCTATCGCTCTGACCCTGATCATTAATTCACCACATGCTGCCTCTTTTGGAGGCAAAAAGCTAGAAAATACTGAAGTAGAGTAGAAATTTTAAGATTGGGATTTCATTTTCTAAGTATAAAGTGGAGAACTGTGAACTAAAATAAACCAGCCTAATAATGAACAAACACCACGGAATCAAAGCAGACCCTGCTTATATATAAAAACCGAAAATTAACCATATTTTTTAAAGTACCTTTTCAAGGTCAGAGACAAATTCCTCTTACATACTAGTTCTCATTAAAATACCTTAAAAGATGAGGTGTTCAAGCTTGTTTACCTCAAACAGGCTCAAATATATCATTCAGTGTTAGTACCCCTCAAAAAAGGACTTGTATTCCTAAAAGAAGTTACAGAAAAACCTGGCTAACTGTCCAGAAATCCCTTTCCTTTCCCAGTCACAGATTCTCTTCACTGTCAAGAATAATTTGTTTACTTAAAAAAGTTCTAGAGGCATAAAGTATACACATTCTGGGGGTGGGGGGGTATAGCTCAGTGGTAGCACCAGTGCTTGGCGTGCTCCAGGTCATGGGTTCAATCCCCAGTGCCTCCATTAAGGGACAAAAATAAGTAAGTAAATAAAGTACATACTTTATGCAAAAAAGTCTCTTTACACATGCCTAGATATAAAAAACCTTAAACATCTGGTTTTGGGCCTGTAGGAACGTTATTTTATCACAATTATCTCAGAACACTTTTACCATATCAACTCACAAACATCCCGCATTTCAGGACCCACCCCTGCTCCTTTATCTCCTTCGAGGCCTCATCCTCCACCCTGGGAAACCCCCAGCAGTCAGGATTAATCTTGCCTCCTGGCGGGCCCCCACCCCCACCCCCGTGTGCTCAAGGCAGCACTGGGGTCCCCTGCCCTTTCCTTATCATCAGTCCACTGCCTGCTGGATTCTGAGCTTCCTGGGGGTGGGGGACGTGTCCTGGCAACCTGCCCCAGAGTAGGGGGCGGAGCTCTGCACCCAGAGGCACTCAGTGGGCATTTCAGTGACCAATAGAACATCTATTTTCTCTGCAGTTCTAAATTAGAGCCCTGTGAAGCTTTCATTCAAGGCTGAAACTGAGCTTTCTCAGACTAAGCACTTCCTCATATCAAAAAGCAAAGCACCGACAAACAGGGCCAGCATGGAAAGCACGCTGCTTCTGGTGCAGGTGGAAGTGCCAGCCTGAAGCGCTGCTTCTGCTCTCTCCACCCGTGGTTTTTAAAAACTGGCTTCTGTTTCTTATTGATGGAAATAGTGACCCAGCTGACTGGTGTCCTGAGAAGGCCCTTTGAATGGGACCCTCCCCATTTCATTCTGGCATCCCCGGGGCGAGGAGGTTTTGCAGGCCAACACACTGCGCACCGTCCTCAGGACACTGAGTGGACTGGAAGTCAGTCACTGTCACCTCCTACCCCATCCAGACTTCACTAAATGTGCGACTTGGCTATGAAGGGTCTGGGGTCAGTGCTCAGCTTTCTCCAAATGACTGATAAGTCTTGTGCTGTGTCACGTGGAAGATATTTTCCCAATTCTTATGAATAAGGCCTTGGCCAAGTCAGTTCTCCTCTAACTATAAATGCTGTAACGACGATGCTCTCTCGGTTTGCTCTCAGGAAAACCTGGCGGGTAGGTGAACCTGGCCACACGCGGAAGCCGGTCGCCACCCTCAGTGAATGGTGACCATTGTCCTTTCATGATCAGCAAGGTACAAACCAGGGATCCTGTTTGCAGATGAGGAGGCCCAGGGAGGCGGGGTGACTTGCCCAAGTCACACAGAGGGTAAGTGATGGATGTGGGACTGAGCCCAGTCTGGTCTGACCAAACCCGTCAGTCGGTTACTCAGAAAAGCTTATTTTTCCTCTAAAAAGACAGGGGTATTCAGGCTCCCATTCAAGCAAGATCCAAACAGAAGAGTCATTCATAAAGAAAGGAGACCTTCAGCACTTCTTCATTAGGACGGGATTGAAGCCCCACAGCCTGCCCAGAACCTACAACGTCCCATGGGTCCTGTGTCCTGGCCCTCACTGGCCTCTCCAGGTCCCTCTCACTCCACCACCCTCACTTCTTTCAGCTCCTGCAACGCTCCTTCCTGCCGCGGGGCCTTTGCACCTGCTGTGGTGTCTGCTCAAGCAGCCTCTGACCACCTGGACTATGGGCCCCTCCATTCCATGCTCTTCCAGGCCTACGTTCCTTACGTTCAGAGCATGCATCTCAGTCTGTGATGACATGTTCATCGGTGTGATGATTTGGTGACCATCCCCCCCCAGGCTCTAGGCGCCATGAGAGCAGGGAACAAGGAAGTTTTTGCCCATCACCATAGCCCCAGCGCCTGGCCCTGGACCAACCCAGGCAGGTGCTCAGTGATTACCTGTTCAATGACTGAATGTCCTCTCATATAATGCTCCCAATAACCCCATGAGGTAGTAATATTATCACCTTTTACAAATGGAGAAACCGAGGCTCTGGGAGTTAAAGGAACTTGCCCAAGGTCACAGAACTAGAAAGACAGGGCTTGAAGGTGAGACTTCCTTTCTCCAAGTGTCCCACTGCCACCCCAGGCTGATGCTCCCGGGACAACCACACTGGATACCTGGGGCTCCCACTCCTCACCAGTGCCAGGGCATCTTAAACACACTCCTGTACCCACCCGCCCTCTCCTGAAAATAGAAAAAGAAAGAAATCCAGTCAGTCCATTTCCTTAAGTCCAAGTGACAAGAAACACTTACCCCATGTTTCTGAATGGCGACATTGGTGAGATGGACAAACATGTTATCTAACTCGCTGGTGCTCGGGGTGTATTTCACTGTGCAGAAGCGGCAAAATCCAAGTTTATACCTAGGTGGGAATTCAGATTAATTCAGTACTCTGAGGATAAGCATAAATAAAATATAACACTTTTTCTCCTAAAAGAGCTGCTCTTTTTGCTTTAAATCTTTCAAAAAGCTGCTTTTTAATTTTTCATGGTTCTTTTTACATAACAGCTTTATTAAGACATAATCCATATGCCATATTACTCATCCACTTCACATGTACAACTCAGTGGTTTCTGGTATTTTTGGAGCTGTGCAGCCATCATGACAATCAACTGCACAATGTCTGCATCCCCCCAAAAAGAACCCTGTGAACATGAGCAGTCACTCCCCAACCCCAGTGCTGGGCAGATAACAATCTGCTTTCCATCGCTAATGTTTTGCCTGTTCTGGGCATGTCATATAAGTAGAACTGTACATGTGGCCTTCTGTGTCTCGACTCTTGCACTGAGCATGCTTGCAAGGTTAAAGAGCTGAAATACAGTTAGTTGAAAATGTTGTGTCAGTTTCTGGTGTACAGCATAATGCCTCCATCATACATGAATA